TATGAATGCTCGAGTCCATTTTACGTAGCCGTATATTGCACATTGTGATTTTTTAAAATACCTTCGGACAAAGATGCTACAACACAACAATAATTTTCTTAGCACTGGATTTGATTTAATAACAGCCCTCTGCCGCACTAATTTGGGTAGCAACAACATTTACCTAATCTTGACTCAATCCTGATACCACTACATTTGTAATCTCGCCCACACTTTTCAGTTTGTACACATTACATTTACTTCTAACAAGGCGTGGGCGTATAAAATGAAGGCAAGTACATTTGAGAAAATGATTCCTCTCAACATGCAGTGGCACAAAGCTTAATGATCTAATTGGATTGAATGAGGAACAGCAGATTTATTTTATGCCTTTCTAGCCTTTTTCATCATGAATGAGTAATAATGAGGGAGCAGGGAGTCTGCGTCATTATAGATGTACTTGCTGGCCTTCTTGTAAACATTTTGTTTATAACATCAAGTGTTTGACAGAACTGAATATCCAGTCTACATTTTTACATTAGCATACATGGCATGCTGAAAACACATCTCACATCATTAGGTCAACAAAACGTCACAAACAGATAGTGAGTGATTTCCCCCTTGCTCTATGACAGTCTTCACTGTGTTCCCTGCCCCAAGACAAAAGTCAAAACATATTAATTGAAATTAATGACAGTGATTACATTTTTTGTCAGGCTGTTGCCTAATTTTTCCCCCATTAGTTTGAATAAAATTTCTATCCCCACTGCCAGTTCTGCCTTCCTGCTAGGGCCAGGGCATGAGTGGCGCATTGTCGGGTTGGGGAAGATATCTATTAATAGTAATTCTACATAAAGAGAAGACAGGTTCATAAAACAATGACCTTAAGTCTAAGAGCACTATGCAAACCATGTTGTGATACTAAACCTCCCAGATTAATCATACAATGCCATCCTGTAAGCACAATTATTTTCTACCAGCTTCCAGAAAATAAAGAAAAGGAAGGTAAAATTCACTCTCAATATGAAATTTCTAACAAGCAGCTGCTAGAGCACTGATCACATTAGGTAAGAACATGACAGAGAAAAGTGGTGACTATATGTGCATCGCATTGGAGATACCAGCTATGACTATGAAGCTTAAAAGAATAGTTTATTTAAAACTCTTATTCAGAGTAGATCAAAATGCAGCAACATTGCTAAAGAAGTCTAAATGAGCAACAAGCATGAGCAGGCAACAGGACAACAGTCATTTTATCTACCATTTTATTAGATAGTAAACCTGGTGAACTCATTGCACAGGAAAACAGTGTGCACAAACAGCTATGGCAATTAAAGTAGGTCAAAAGTAAACCAGAAGTTGTTCTATAAACTATTATGGATATTTACAACAGACAGTTTGGCTAACTCTCCTTTGTTGTTTTCCATGGTCTGAGAAGCCCTGAATAGCGCTTACTAATTGCACAGTTATGGCGTATGTGCAAACACAGTGATGAAGTAAGCAATCTGTGCTGTTGATCTGTAGTAAGCTACACGATTCCTGTGCGAGTAGGAAGTGGTAATATTAATTTCTGCTCTCCTCTCGTGGTCTATAAATCTGATACTCTCACCCAGATGGTCAGATACACAGCTGCGGGAGATAGAGGAGTGTGAGTGGTATTTCTGTAATAGGTGTTGGTCACTTCTTTTTACCATTACTCTTTCACTGACTGCCTCAGCAGGCCCGTTTAGTAAATCAGTTGTTGAGAACATTACGAAAAATGACCCTGTTCCTAAACCTAGGCTAGTCCACATATCGTTTGTCTTCAGAGCACTGTGGGAACATAGCCAGGCTTCTCTCCACCTGGTACTGTTGTCACATTACCATTTATTGTAGTTTGGTGAGGTCATAATACATCCAATTGGATTTCCTCACTATTGCCTTGCTCACTTCAATCTCTGCTGCCCTGATTTGTGCACCTGTGTAATATTAGTAATGGAGGCTCTCTCTGCAGAGTGGTATGAGAATATAAAGGAACATTAATTTTCTGGGCAATGTCAGACATCATGCAGAGGAAGTGAAGTTGGTTGTTTCTGGATCACAAGACCATCAAAAGTAGTGCTCCACTCTCTAGAGATTGGATAACAATAAATAAAATTCTGTTGCAACCTTCCCCATACCACAGCTGGTCCACCTGGTGTTAATCCACTGACTACCCACAGTCAGCATACACCAGGCTGTGCAAGGATGGCTGAAAGTCAAAGTGAAAAACAGTTTGGTCACACCATAAATATACAAGGAACTTTACAAGACAATCCTACAAAATGTTGGTTATTTTCCATTTGTTCGGTCTTACATTGTCCCATGGTTTGACACCATAGCATTTAAGTGGTCATTTTGGGAATACACCTTTACAGTATGTAATTCTTTTCTGTAGCTTATTGAATCTCTAAGTTCTAAGTGAACGTTTGTATGTCGTGATGCAAATTGTGTTTTTCTAATATAAACAAATATAAAATATAATTGCTGAATTCTTTCATTTCATTTAATGCAACTAAACTTCAGAAAACTGCTGAAAATCTACATTTCACAATCTCAAAGAAAAATTACATAAAATGTTTTCATTAAATACGGTCATCCTAGAGCATGGTTAGCTCACTTGATAGAGTGCCGGCCCCAAGTACAAGGCTGAGTCCTTACTGCAGCGGCCCAGGTTTGAGTTCAGCCTGCAGCCCCTTTCTCCCTTCCTGTTTCTTATCACTATCCTGTCACTGAAAAATAAAGACAGAAATGCTCCAAACAATACCTTGAAAAAAAAAAGAAATAAAAACTAAAAAAAAGCAGTCATGCTATCGATGCATACGCTTATATTTGCACAACTGCATTATTAAGGTAACTGGTTCTCTACAGCCACCACTGAAGTAATGCTCAACCTAAAATCTTGTGCATATCCAACACAGTTACAGTATGTGTAAAAGTGTATAGTTGCAAAGCCTCGAGGACGGTAACAACACATCACAGGAATCAATTTATTTAGATTGCATTTTCATATGCATAATGTCAATTATTGAACTACTAGTCACTACAGTCGTGTTTTTAGTGGTCTTTAACTACAATTACTGTAGATGTATAACAAAGCTCAGCCATGTAGACTAATTTCTAATGAGTGAATAAGATGGTTTACATCTATGCATTCTGCATGCATACTGCCAGTGTGTTCTAGCTATATAAATAGTAACAGTAGGGAAAATATTGATAATTTAAACACTGCGTAGATGTAAATCGTATAAGCATGAAAATCATGATGTTAAATGTGATAATGAATGGCAATTTAAAGTCAATGAAAATTACTGCTGGTGAGAGAAATCCAATGACACTGCTGGCACACAAATAAAATGTTAAATAGCTATTCCCACCCAATATATTTCATAGCTAATGACAGGGCATACATAAACATATGTAAGCCCAGCAAAGATCTCCTAATTATGGAAAATATTAATCTTAGTCCTAAAACATGTCACAAAACTATAATTGAACAAGTAAGGTTACAATTCAGAGTAAGGCTGTGGAATGAATTGTTCAACTGTGCACAGATAGGGAGTCTATGGCCTAATTACACCAAGGGAGGTTACTGCCCTCCATTTCACCAGAGGCCAGTGATAGCTGCGATTTCATACTTTATCTGCTTTTACGCTCGGTTTAGATATTGCTGATTCATATTTGCACCAAACACATTAGAATCCAACCTTGAACACATTTTTTCCCATCATAAGTGAATCAAAAATTGGGCGGAAAATTAATGTTGTTTTTGAAAAGCTCTGGCAGAATGAAACATGTCTCCCTCATTCTGTCTGCAAATTTTCCATCTATCATAGGTTGTTGTCACATTGACAGCAAACATCTGGAAAATGAAATGATTGTGAATTTGTATGACCTATTTCATATGTACTGTTGCAATTTATGCACATGAATCGATTAAAGTGAGTGAAGCACTGGACATCTAAAGAGAAAATCTTTCATTATCCAATTTTTGAGTGGGTGCGATATCAATGTGAGAACATGGTTTTAAAAAGATGCATTTGATGAAATGTAAAGTAAAGAATGGGTAAGGCAGAACAAGAGCAATAGCAGAGTGGCAAGGAATCATTAAATAGATCACGGTGGTGACAGTGCCTCTTTGAAGACACACACATCCCACTGAGCGTGAGCCTCGAGTGCTAACAATGCCGATAGGCTGCAGGGAGCATTTCTCAGCCTTCTCACTGAGCACTAGCACTAAGATTAGAGGTTCCTTTAATCCGACAAAGGGGATTAAATGCTACAAGAGAGACGAGAGGACCGCTCCCACGGAGGGGCTGAGATGAATTATTAACACCTCTCCTCAAGACTAGTGATCTAAGTCTTTAAACCAAATATCACGGTTCTGAAACACTGGTGGCATGTCGTGCCAGCCAAACATTCCAGGGTGCACAGATAAATGTGATCTCTCTCAACACACTCCGCCACACAGAGAGGGCAAGGTGTGTGTAGAAAGTCTAGGGCTTTCAAAATAAAGCCCTAAACACTAAACGATAGCAGTAGAAGAAGTGTACTGAACACCCTAAAAAAGTATGAAAATGTTAATTAAAGTTTTCATTGTTTGACAGCTATACATTGGCTAGCACTAAAAAGTTAGACAAAACCATTCAGCGGACATGCTCAATAAAAACAGGTAAATTTCCTTTGAACATATTTTAGTTGCCACAGTGATTCATAACTGTAAAGACAAATATATACCAAAGGAAGAACATTATGTGCCAAGTCCAGTCCAGACAAGTCCAGACTTTTAATGCATCATGCTCTGGTACGAAACATCCAAATCCAAAAGTGTTTCAAGGCAAGGTCAGTCTGTGATGAGAATGTGACCTGAAAATGGCCATTAAATCTTCAACTCATTTAAATAAATAAATATACTGATACAGTGCAGCTCCACATCTTAAACCCAAACAGATGAATAAACATTACAAACATAAATCACAGAGTAGTTGCCAATCATCACTTACCCCCCTTGTTCCATCTGCCTTTAGTCCTTGCCTGATAGGTGAGTTCGGGACAGCCAGACAGCACCAAGAGAAAAAAAACAAGTTCAAACACAGAAAGAAATCCAGACTTTGCCCTGGAAAACATGTCCAAGAGTTTCTGGCAGTCAAGTCACTTTCACATGGCTGTGTTTCCTCCTAGAGCAGCGCGGCTGTGGCGCATGGTAACCCACGCGTGGGCTGTCATCATCAGTCACGCTGGTGTCAGCAGTGGGTCTCTAGTCCTACCATGCTTCTCTGTGATGCCCCGGCTGGGTGCTGGTCTTCACTGATGCTGGAGCTCCGAGTGAAGCCACATCTCTCCCCTTCTGTAAGCTCTGCCTCACCAGAGCGCACGGGAACCAAGCGGGAACACACAGCTTGCCACGCGACGGCACAGCTCAGCTTCGCTCGGCACAGTGCATAGGAACTCGCTTTCACTCAAGCTCTCACACACAACCTCACACACACTCCCTCTCTCTCTGTCTCTCTCACGCTCACTGCTGCCACCGCGGTTGATGTCGATGCTGCTGCTGGAGCTGCTGCTGAATTATTTCCTGCCTTCCTCATTCTCTGGGTTTCAGAGGGAATTCATTCCTCTGTGCTTTTGCTTGCAGCTTCACATCGTGGAGGAGACGAAAGGTGGTAACACAATCCACCTTCTGCCCTCTAGAAAGAATTCTTCAGGGGTGTGTTGGACTGAGGCTGTCTGGTAGTGTAAACCAACAAACAGGCAAGTAAGAATAACAGGTAGCAAAGGGGGCAGAGGAAAGACAAGGTGTAGAGATGCTCTTCATCAGTAACAAATGTGCATGGAGACTGCATCACCCTTGCCTAAGTATGGGGCTAGACTAGGGGCAATTGAGCAAGGAGAGAAAGAGAAAAGAGAGCAGGAAAAAGAGAGTTCAGAGGGAGACAGATCAGAAAGGAGCACTCTGGTGGGGAAATTGTAGGGTTCTCACCAATTGACCCATCCCCCTCTGCTGTGACAGCTCGTGGCAAAAGTGTACTAAATATTCCTGGACCAGTGCCAACATAGTCTAACAAAATTGGAGAAATGTGTTTATTTGGAACATGTATTTGAAACTTCCACATTTTAAAAATAACATCAGAGCATCTTAATCGGAATATTTATTTATATTGTAGGTTACCTGAGTAAGAATAGTCTACAATGTGATTTGATTGTTGCATTTTGAACTCAAACCAAAGGAAAATGTGTTAAAGGTCATGTTTGTGAACTATACAGCCTCTGCAATTAGAACTGCGGTACAAGCCAAACTAACTGACAGTTTAAATGGTGATGAAAGTATGCTTATCCACAAGCCCTGCAACAATGGTGGTATTTATTATCAATTAATCTGCCAATTAAAAGTATTCAAAAGTGAAAAAAAAAGCATTTCCCATAGCCCAAGGTGACATCTTCAAATTCCTTGTTTTCTGGCCAACAGTCCAAAACTCAAAAACATTACATTTAGAATTATATAAAACAGATTAAAGCAGCAGATATTCACATTTAAGGTGCTGGCATCAGAGAATCTTTGGCATTTTTGGCCCAAAAATGACTAACAATTAAGCAGTTGTCAGAATAGGTAATGATTCGGCTAATCGACTAATGGATCAATCAACTAATCATATCAAAAAAACTATCACATATCCAATCAAACGTATACGATTTTTATCACTGAAACAAACCTCTGTAGCTTGTCTTATAACACAAGCTCCTCACAGTCACTCCTGTGGCAGAGCTGCAGCAACCTGTTAGGGGCCACCACAAGAAAATGTTTGTTAAAAACTGTGTAACTTCTCCATTACACCAGAGCTGCGATAAACATGTTAAATTAAAACCACACATATTCCAAATGAAAACTAGACACAGCTGTGATTTTCTAAGACTCTGTTTTTTGTAAGGCCCACTCTTTATCAAGATACCAGCCATATTTCTCTGACAAAGCTCCAAGGTCGTTATACTCCCAAGTTCATAAAACAGGTACTTCACACGCAGGGAGTATGAACAGGCTGTCCTGTGCACACACTATGGCTTTAATGTCCTAATTACAGCTTCTGAGGAAACCCATGATCAAGTCCATGATTTTTTATACACAGTGCAAATTAATATCTGGAATCCACACATAATCTTCTCTCGTTTCCTACCTGCATCCCCCTTTTCCTTCACGCTATCTCGCTTTCCCTTCATAACAACCTGCAACGACACCAGGAACTATAATTAAGCTTTCTGCACATGAGGAAAGAGATGTGTATTTTCTCTAAGACACCAGCAGGAGCATCTGTTGGCAATACACATTTCCGATGACAGATAAACAAGCACAATGTTTGCTTCTCTCTGGGCTATTACACCATGGGTAAAGTACATCATTCTAAAGTATGACAGTCCCATGTTCACTGTAATACAATTACAGAGCAAATCTGCACCAAACAAGGTATATTTAAACCTAATGCTACAGTACATCATGCTGCATGTCTGCACCTCTAAGTAGGAGTTTTTCATCAATAGCCTTGAGCTTTGTGTGCTAAACAGTAATACTCAAAGATTATTCTTTCTTGCATATAAAGAGCCTGGTGTGGTACCTTGGGCTCCAAATTCAAATGAAGCTGCTAAGGCTAAGCACTAGGGCTGCAACTAATGACTATTTTCATAGTCAACTAATTTGTTAATTATTTATTTGATTAGTCGACTAGTCATGATTTTTGTCACCCTAACCCTAATTAAACCATTTAACTAATTAAATATCTTTCAAGTGAATTACTGACGTTACCATTAAGTGAACAAGGTTTACTATTCAGAATGAACACCAGTATCAACACCAGGGGGAATCCAGGGAAGAAAACAAGACAGCATAGGCTACTCCTATAATTCACTGATTTACACAAACTTTAAAACTTTAACTGTTTAACAAAGATTTTTGCTTTGGAACTATATAAAATAAAGGCAAATTAAAAGCAAGTACTAAAACCACAACTGTACACTAACAAAGTAATGTCTATTTAAAACAATATAAAGCAACAGTCCCCTTTCAATAGGCAATAACTCAGTGGAGATTGTTCTGTAGGCTACATCACAAGACAGATGTTCCTTGATGTACTTTAAATCATTACTCATAACTTTTTTAAAGCTGGGTCTCCGACATTGTAATCGTTGTGTTGGACAGATTTGTGCTGCGGTGTTTATGAGAGAGACGAGCAAGAGGATGTGCTGTGCGAATGCACTATGGCGCTGATCTGAATTAAGATTTTAAATAGGCCTACTTCTTTTAAAAACTAAAATCAGTATGTGGCGGGCCGCCACAAATAAATGAACGAATAGGAAACACTGCCTTTCCTCTATTGTTGCTGCTGCTGCAGTGGTCTGTGTAACTGGGACCAGAGGGCTCTGTGGGTGTGACTGGCACCAGCCTGCTGGCACCGCTAACCTCGCGGGCACTTGTGGAGCTTCTCAACCTCGAAAACGTTTGAGCACATTTTCGATTCGCCATCTACCTAGTTAAATTGCCAATATTCAAGTTCTACACAGTTATTTTTATAGACTAAATTGCAAAAAAAACTTTTAAACACAAAAGCCGTTCTGCTGTTGGCCTCTTTCTCCAGTTCTCTCCGCTTCTCACATGAATGCTTCTTCTTCGTAAGTAGTCTCACAGTCAAGTAGTCATGGCAGACAGTGGAAGCAATACTGCCCCCAGCACTTCCTGTAGTGCATTGCAGTTAGAAATAAACAGCCAGAAATGTTCCTAATATGAACATTGCTATCGCTCCCTTAAACGGCAATGATGCGTCAACAATGAAATTTCACGTCGACTAATTCTCATTGTCAACGTCGTTGATTACGTCGACTAATCATTGCAGCCCTACTAAGCACCGAATAGCTTAGATGCAAGAGGTTAGTGGAGGTATACATGGAGTATGTAGTACAGCTTGTGCAGTAAGTGGTCTACAGACACAGCTGTGCTCCTTCATAAGTCAGTGGTGTAGAGCCTAATAACAATTGCTGCTATAATGGCAGTAGTATTTTTGCAACTACTGCACAGTATTCATTTATACCTCAAAAGGTTAGGGTTACCAAACCAAAGATAATCTAAAAGCTAGTGTGCATCAGACTCCCTTTAATAAGTAGCTAATTGACAACCCCAAATTTGTAGCAGATATATTAATTATTTGGGAAAAGTTCTTAATACTAAGTTCAGAAACAGAAAAAGAGCACAGATGTTACAAAAACAAACTCTGTGTGTGTCTCATCAGTGCATAAAAGGGACAGACTTTGATGTCTCTGCCTCTTGTGTAAAATTAGTTCACACAGACATAAATCTGGTGAAGTGCAGCCGGAATTAGCATCCAGTGTCTTTGTCTAAGATCCCTTAGAGCCCATTACACTAACCATTCAAAGTTGTCTTTGCTTCAAAATTCTTTCTGCCTCTTTAACACACTAATAAAAAATAGAAGAGGGAAGTAGAAGCAATAATATGGATAAGATGGCAACCTGTGCAGTGTGTGATAGTCAAGACAGATGTACCTAGGTATTGTTGAGAAGGGTATTGTCACCAGAACAGTCGCTACTACTGTGAAAGGAGTAAAGCGGAGTACAGTGGAGTAAAGTGGAGTACATATGGGAACGAATACATCCATACTGGTAAGTCTGAAAGCTTATCACCCCCAGACAAGGGCCCCCTGGATAAATGTGGTCAAGCAGGAGAGGAGCCCAGCTTCAGCAGTGATGGGGTGCAGGACAGCGATAAGGATGAAGCTCTACTGGGCGAAATGGGGGAGCGAGGCAAGGGGCCCTGGGCTGAGAAACTCAGCCAACAGCAACGCTCATTCCAGCTCTCACTGGCTAAACCTCTTAAAAAATTTACACATAGGCATTCACCAAACTCAGCAAATATAGGTTATAGCATGCTTGTATTTGTGTGTCTTAAGTGCAACCGTGCATGTGTGCGATAGAAGACACACACACGCACATTTGCACTTCTTACAAGTGAACCTAGAAATGGAGAGTGGGTGAATGCAGAGTAGAAAGAGCTAAAGAGCACACACGGAGAGGAAGAAAATGTCTTCTTGATGTTTTTCTGACGCCAGCCTCTTGAAAACACACCATGAAATTTGCTTTTTCACAGGAAGTGACAGAGCGAGCACCATGAATTGATCCCTTGATGGAGATCTGGCTCTTTGTGTAGTCGTTTTCTCCTCTGCGCATCTGCCTGCCCAGATACTGGATAATCTACTCGCTCCCGGCATTCCTAATCCAACCATCCATCCCCATTCACTCCGCCCATGTGTGTCCCAGCACAGGACAAGGGTGTAGTTTGGAAGTCTATAATGGAATAGATGTGGTTGTTTGTCTCTCTTCAAATGATTGTTGTGCAGCAGCGAAATGATTATTTCTCCTGCATTGCTAATCCCTGGGTAATGATTAACGTTCTAATTATAATTTTCCAGAATCAGAGCCCAGAAACTTTCAACCAAAAAAAATCTGTGGTGGAACCTTTGTTTTATTAGCAGCTGAATGCTTTTCACTAAATATTTTAGTCACCAATATTGTTAAAGCAAATTTATCAAAGACAGGATACCCTGTTTTAATTTTAATTTTCACTAAAAATTAAGAGATTATGGTCAACAAAGCTACATACTTGAAAAGAGCTCTACTCCCAGTATAGCCCCATGTAACCAAATTTTAAATATCATTAAGCAGATTACATCTCTGTCAGCCATTTAAATTAGTAAACAAGCCAAACTATGAAATAGAAGTGCTTGTCCCTGGATGGTCTGTCAGATGACTGATCACTGTGAAAACTGGATATCATAATGGCTTGTAAAGCAATGTCCATTAAGAAATATACTGCCATTTTGCAATTCTTAAATACAAAATAGCATAAACAACTATCCCTTACAATGTAATGTTATATACTTATATATCAGTTAGAATTCAACAACAACTGTATTTGTAAAAAGCAAATGCATGAGCTCCCTTAAAACTAAATGTGGATGATCTAATTTTGTACACTAATCAAAAATGTACTTTGTTCTGCACCTCCATAACATGCTGTACTAAACAGTTCTTCAATCAAACCGCTGTTACAGGCATCCATATGTAAATGTTACATGTACCCATTCAGAAACAGGCTGGGCTTGTTATAATGTATATGAAAAGCAATTGAAATCAAAAGTGTGGTGTAAGCTGAAGGTGCAATTACATCAGGAATAAATTCCTTTACAATCAATCCTTATGCAGCATAAACTTGTGCACAGAATGTGTCTGTGAATGGTCCTGCAAGTCAAAGAACAGAAAGGTAATAAGAATCAGAATGAGTTAGTGATTGCTGTCATAAAATATGGCAGGGGCTTCTATTTACAACCTGTAATAAAACTGCCTCTGCTGCGATTTATGGAGATGCTTGCCCCACAGAGCTAAACCCTTTTTGCCAAGGGCATGTTAATAACCTCCTTAGTGCATTCTGAATGTATTGGCAGATGGACATTTTGTCTAATAGAGCATTGCAAACTAGAAAGCAGGCGCTTAAAAAAAGGCAACAGTGTCATGCTTGTACGGTATTCTGGTGGCAGCATGGCTTCAGCTTGAGGCTTTCCTCCACTCAAAGACCCATCCAAACTGCTACCGCGTGCTGAGCTTTTCTTTTGTCTCTGTACTCATCAATCCCTTGCCCCCCTTCACACCAACCAACTGACGATGGTAAAATCTTATCAGTTGGATCACACTCTCGAACGTTACGTAAAATATGTCTTTAATATTAATATGGTGTGACGAACATTACAAAGCCTGTGCATGTTTGTTACAGTCTGAACAAGTTGCTGTGTAGGCAAAGATAAAATGTTATAGTGTTTGTCAAAATTTAACTGACCTAACCTTTTCTAAACAAATTTTATATTAGCCTATAAATTATAGATTATATATTAAACTAAGTGAGGACAGAGATTTTCTTCAATGAATACTTTCACAGTACTCAAGATCTGATTTATAGTTTTACATTATTTCAGATACCAAAAATATTTTGTGTTATTTACTATGTAAATACTTATTGCACTGGATGTCTGAAGATTACCAATATTTTGGTGACAGAATATTCATATTCATAATAATTCATTAATACAGTACATGTAATAATGCAATATTTTAACTACTGTAGCAGTGCTGTAACCATTTCAAGGCCCTGCACAGCCACACAGGTGTTTTCA